GCTTTTGGTCAATAACAATATATATATACATCTCAATATATACTCCATTTGATGAAAGCATGGTAATAACAAAAATGTACAAAAAAATAATGGTCCTTATGACAGTTTTCAAAGTAATAGTATGGTAGACCTATCAATATTTTGATAAATGTAAATGTATTTATTTATATAAACTGTCATAAATGTTGCAAAATAACAATAAAGTATCATAAGGTATAGTAATTAAGTTTAAAACAGTAATACAAATACAAATTTATTTAAAATACAATTTTATGTACATTTTTTGGTCTAAAAATATTGTTTTATCCATATCTGTCAAGCATGTTTTATGTTTTCCGCCATATTTTCTGTGCAACCATTATTTGAATATTTTTTCCTACACTAGTCTATTAATTTATGTAATGTATAATCCATTTCAGAAAAAAAAAAAAAACTGCCCATAAATGGAATGCAAACACAACAAATAAAACTATCAAAGATTATGCCAAACGATGGGTGGGTAATATAAGCAAAAAATGAATATCACAATATTTTTTTTAAATCTTGGTGGATAACAATATACGCATTTTTATGAAAAAGTGATGCTAAAAAAAGATGTATTTCAAATATATTTAAAATAAAATAAACAATTATTATTTACTTGTTATATATTTTATTCTAAATATTTTTTAAATACACACTTTTTAAATATATATATTATGGTACTTATGCCATAGTCCTGTCAATTACATATTTTATTTAACCAATCATGAACTTTGCAAGGAAACAGTTTTATAAATACATGATAATACTGTTTTTACGCTTTTTTTTTTTATTTAATTTTTTTTAAATCAATGTGTTATCTATGTCTCATCATCATAATTTTTTCATTGTCTTTCTCGTAGGCTCTCCTCAAGATAAGAGGCCAGTTCTGGCTGTTGTTCCCAGTCCTGCAACACCATCATATCCAGCAGAGATGGAGGGACTGAATGCATGTACGCTCATATCATATCATCACAGGATACTACAATGCTTTAAAAGCCATCAGTAGTTTATTATTCTCATATGTTGCAATTCTTCTCTTCATCCAGACCGTTGCAACCTGACCTTCGACCCTCGCACCGCCAATGCTCACTTACGGCTCTCTCAGAGCAACAGGAGGGCGGAACATCTGACATCGGGGCCGCGCCCCGTCCCGGCCGATGAGTCCCGCTTCGACCACACCTGGCAGGTGTTGTGTCTCCAGAGCTTCACTCACGGCCAGCACTACTGGGAGCTGGAGGTGTCCAAACCGTGGGCCTATGTGGGTGTGACGTACCCGAACATCCCGCGCAAAGAGAAGGGCAAGCGCTGCATGGTGGGGATGAACGAGCTGTCGTGGAGCCTGCAGCTGGACGAGCGGCAGCTGAGCGCGTGGCACGCCGGCTGCAAGGAGTCCGTCGCCGGCCAGCTGCAGCCGAACGCTCAGCCGCTGCGCATCGGGATGCTGCTGGACTACGAGGCCGGGACGCTGACGTACTATGCCGAGGGACAGGTCCGGCTGCACGCCTTCCACTGCGCCTTTACACAAGCGCTGTTCCCGGCCTGCTGGATCGGAGAGGGCGTCACCATTACACTCTGTGAACCGCGAGCATGAAAAGGTTTGATCCTGGGGAAATAGATGCATCATCCCTACTGTAGCTGAACCTGAGACGTGTGGCCTTCCTTTGTCATCATTTACTCCTGGTGTTTTTGAGCGGTGGTGAGATTTGACGAGCTCAGTATCTACTCTGGGATGGTTCGGGTTGATCTGTGGAGAATTGTGTAAGGGCTGAAACATACTTCACGCAAGTATGTAGACGCAGATGCTCACACTGAAGTGAAATATGTAGTGAAATATTCATTGCAAGTATTTAAAATGAAAAATAATGTTTTAAAAGAAGTCTGTTATGCTCACAAATTCTGCATTGATTTGAATGTTGCGAAATATTACAATTTAAAATAATTATTTTAAAATATATTTCGTACATTCATATTAATCAGTATATGAGAATGATTTCTGAAGGATCATGTGACACTGAAGACTGGAGTAATGATGCTGAAAATTCAGCTTTGATCACAGGAATAAATTACATTTTAATATAAATTCAAATATAAAAGTTATTTTAAATTGTAATAATATTTAACAATTTTTATTGTTTTTGCTGTATTTTTGATCAAATAAATGCAGCCTTGATGAGCAGAAGAGACGTCTTTCAATAACTATTCCAAAACGCACACACACACACAGAACATCTGTGTTTGTGAACTTCATAAAGTGTGTTTCTGTCCTAAATCTTTGCCATTCTTTCCTGTGGCCAAATGATAGCAGGTTACATTAACTTTTAAGAAGTTTTGAAGAGTTTGCATTGAGGGCCAGCTGTGCATTATTTAGTTTTTATGTTGTGTTTGAGTGAGATCAAAATTATTTTCTGCTGTATCCACTCTAGTATATGATTCCCATTTCTAGTTTTTAAAAATTCAGAAACAGACCTGTTCGCCGGCAGTTTTAAAGTACAAACAGTTATGTTGTGTTCATTTCCGTCTTCTGTTTTCCTGTGCTGTAGGATTCTTGTTATAGTGATTTGTATTTGTACGTATTTCTACTGTATCAGTTTTAGTAGCATTTTGTTTATATTTTACAGAGTTTAACTACATCGTGGTTGATGTGTCCATCAAATTGATCTTTTAACACTTCAGATATTGACATCTGTGATTATGAAATTAAATTTCATACTCTAAAACTCTAGTCATAAACTCTAATTTCATTATCATTGGTTGTGTTCAGAATAGCTTACTTGCATACTTCACAATATGTATCATTTAGGCCTACTAAACACTATTTTTATGCAATAGTAATGCTTTGCTTGCTATAGTATGTTTATTATTTAATTTAGCAAGTGAAGTCCAGTTATCAAACAAATGATTGCATTTTTAGTCGAATTTGGTCCAATTAGTCTAATCAAACCAGTCAAGAGGGAGATATTAAAAACAATCAAAGCTGATATTCCTCCTGGTTGCTTCATCACTTTTTAATTGGAAAGTTGAGCCTGTCACATTATAGGTAAAAAAAAGTTAGAATTGTGAGATATAAAACTAGCAATTATGAGAAAAAAGTCAGAATTTATACCTCAGAATTTTGACTTTTTTTCCTCGCAATTGAAAATTGAATTAATTTTTTTTTCAAATAATTCAGAATTTATGTTGCGATTTTTACTTTTTTTCTGAATTGTGATTAAAAAAAGTCACAATTACCCTTTTTATTTTTTTATCCTGTGGCAGAAACAGGCTTCCTTTGCACTTTTTTTTTTTGGCATACTGTGCACAGCATAAATAATGCATACTGCAAATATAGAATTAGTATGCTATTCTGAACGATAGCCTTTCTATTAAGAGCCATTGAAAGTTTGAACACTGTGTGCGTTATATCTGAATATGGGATCATAATTATATGAAATCCGTTCTTTTATAGCATACTTGAGGTCTGAGCTCACTTCTTTGAGCTGATTTTATGCACTAAAGAGTAGCAGGTGGAACTGTACCTAATATTGGGAGATTGTTTGATTTTTAGAAAAGCAATTTAATTTGCACAAGCATTTACAGCTGCAAGAGTGAAGGGAAAACTGGAAAAGCACATTCTTTGGGAATAATGAAGTCATTTCGAATTGTGTCTGTATCTCCTGAGAGACTTTTATCAATGAATGTGAACTCATCTTGATGTTTGTCTGCTTTTGAAACCCTGGTCATCATGTACATGAATGATGAACACAAAACGTCCATAAATGAAATGCATCGTTCAACTTGTACAGGTTTACTTTAATAAAATACACTTTAAATAAGACAATACAGTGAAGACCATGCGTAACTGATTAATTGTATAATTAAATAAATTAGGGAAAAATAGAATCAACAAACGCTGTCCAGGAGACTGAAGGTGCATGTGGGGTTAAAGTGCATCTTTAGTCTTAACTGCTGCTGCATGCTTCAGAGATGCCAAGACTAGTACACACTGCTGCAGAACACGTCTGAAACACGCTTCATCAGAATATACAACATGTAGTGTTTGTGAAGGTTATTTTACACAATGCTCAGTTCATTTGATTGCTTTTTTTTGCTCTGGCAATGAAAATGATTGCAAAAGAAGCCAAAGTGGAATCAACCACTGCATGTTGCCGAGCAACAAAAGACTAACAGCCTGTCCAATCAGAATCAAGAACCAGAACTAACTGTTGTATAAAACAGATTTGCAGCACATAAAGGTTTTAGTTAAAGGAATAGTTCACCAAAAAATGTAAATATACTCATCCTCAGGCCATCCAAGATGTAGATGAGTTTGTTTCTTCATCAGATTTGGAGAAATGTAGCATTACATGACTGTCTCACCAGTGGATCCTCTGCAGTGAATGGGTGCCGTCAGAATGAGAGTCCAAACAGCTGATAAAACATCACAATAATCCACGCCACTCCAGTCCAACAATTAATGCCTTAACAAATCCATCAAGATGTTTTTAACTTCAAACCGTTGCTTCCGGCTAAAATATGAGTCTTCTATTCATAATATTGCTTTCTAGAGTGAAAAAGTCATCTTGTCTGAATTAGGAGAGAAATATATACAGATCAAGCACCGTTTACAAGCCAAAACAGCTCTAGACAAATATGTGGGTGGATTTTGATGGACTTTTTCACTGGAGGAAGCGTTATTATGGATTATGGACTAGAGGATCCATTGGTGAGCAAGTGATGGAATGCTACATTTCTCCAAATCTGATGAAGAAACAAACTCATCTACATCTTGGATGGCCTGAGGCTGAGTACTCTTTCAGCAAATTGTAATTTTCTGTTGGGATGCATTTGGTGGAATGTGCAGTAAAGGGGCGTTCGCATTTGATTTGCTGTGACTAAGCTTCCGGAAGTCTTTTGTTTTCAAAGACAGATTTAAAGGGATAGTTCACCTTCAGTTGCTGGTCCCCACTGACTTGCATAGTGTTTTTTCTTCTTCTTTCCCATACAATGGAAGTTAATGGGGACCGGCAACTGAAGGTGAACTGGCCCTTTAAGCGACTGCTTGAGTGTGGAATGGCAAGTGAGCAGTGACAGCCAACAATCTTTCATTTAATAACGTTGGATACAGCAGTCGAGAATGAACGACGACCGAAGCACTGTCCAAAACTCTTATGCAACTATCAAAATACTTCAAACCTCATTCAATCGATCTATACAAAATCACTCATAAATGTCTCCTAAATAGACTATTTTTCAAATTTAGAAAAGCTCAATCAGCTAACAGTCGGTCCCTCTCATTCACCAGCTATAAATTCATGTGTGTCTCTCTCTGGTCCCTCTACATTGGCCAGAGCCCCCTACTGGAGCCCCCCGTCACTGCGTGCAGCCTCACGGGGAGTCTGTGCCAGCAGGTGGTGAGAGGATGAGATGAAGGGAATGGAGAGAGAGGAGAGGATGTTCGCTCGCTGCAGACACGTCTACTGGTTCTTCTTGTCTTCAGGTGGAGAGTAGGGTGGAGGCTTGTCCTTCAGAATAAAAACAAAACAATATTCTCAAATTGTTACCCAAGTTGGTATGTTTCGCTTTGATGAAACTCTACAGGTTGGACCTGGTTGTACGTAGAATTTAACATGTTTAACTAGATTACATGAACTTTATTATATGTGAACTTGGCAAACAGGTTGGACCTGGTTATATATTGACTTTGTTAACATGCCATACTTAGTTGGTTAACTCACCTCGGGCAGGTAGACCCGTGTCGGAGCAAACGTAGTTGCGCTGGAACTCGCTGCAGCTTCAGTTGCTTTTGCCTCCGCTAGAACAACAAACACAATCAATTTAAGACAGGAGTGACGTCTTGAACTAAAGGAGTACAGTAGTGGCTCATACCTGCGGGGGTTCTGGGCAGGTCTGGGTCGAGAGGAGCATGGTCCATCGGAGCTGTATACGGCGGAGGAGGCATGTAGGCTGCTGGTCCATCAAAGCCAGGAGGGATGGGGTAAAATCCACCTACAGGACACAAATAAGTGAAAGTGTGGTGTCCCATACTCGGAATTTGTGCTCTGCATTTAACTCATCCACCAAGTACACACACACACACACACACACACACACACACACACACACACACACACACAGCAGTGAGTAATGAACACACACCCGGAGCAGTGGGCAGCCATTTTTTGCCGTGGGAGGAAGGAAGAGAGCGTTGATCATTCACTCCTCCCACCTACAATCCCTGCCGGTACCGAGACTCGAACCCGCAACCTTTGGGTTACAAGTTCGACTCTCTAACCATTAGGCTACGACTGCTCCAAATAACAGCAGTTTAGTGTTTGAATGCAAGTTTAAATGTCAGTACATCTTTTACGCTGCACTATTTTGGACGTAATATGTTGTGTTATAACCTGGAGGTGGAGGTCCAGGGTAGGCGTATCCAGGAGGAGGAGGTGTGGCTGAATACATGCTGTTAGCGGGAGGAGGTGGAGGGTAAGCGTATGCCCCGTTCGCCATGTAAGGACAACCATCATTTACAGTCACCGGTTGCCCTCTGGATGCTGAAATGAATGAGAGAGACTGAAGGTAATGCTTCCACAACAAATCAAATCAACAACCTGATGCTAAAACATTTCTTTTTAAATCAAATTATGTTACTTTTAAAACGTACCCTGTGCCGCCACCTGTAGCATGTACTGTCCAAACTCAATCGCTCCTCCCGCATTAAAAATCAACTTGAAGGTTGCAGAACCTTCCCAACCACCTGCAGCAGTGATGGAAACACTCTTCAGTAAACTTTATTACTACGAGTACATTGTCTCTTCCCTTTTGATGTTCAGATTACACTAAACCTGGACTCTTCATGTACTTTCTTCCAAGGACCAGATTATTCAAATGAAAACTAAAGGAGGGTCTTGATTCAGATCTGAGTACTTTTATTTGAAGCTGAACATGTTAACATGAAAATCAAAATTGAACACCCTTAATACTGTGTTTTTTAACATGAATGCATAATATATATATATATATATAATAAAAATATATATTATTATATTAACACCAGTATTGTGTAATATAGAGATGTGTCAATTGTTTTGAATTAATTACATGATATGAAAGTTAATTTATTGAATCAGTTGCAATTATTTGCATTATTCGAATTCGAGGTGTTTTACCTCCAGGCTCGGCGCTGATCGTTCCCTTGATGTAGTTGGCACCAAGTACTGGCTGTTTGACCTCACAGCCCTTCATAAGATAAAACGGCATCATTAACGACTGCAGGGGGTCCTTCCCTTTAGTCAAGAAGATCACCTAAACATCAAACCACATAAGCAGCAAATGATACACATATTCATTTACTGAGGTTATTTACAAACCACTGAACAAGACCAGTCAGGAGACAGACAAGGCCAAGACCATATTAAAATACATATTTAAAGATTTTCCTTGCTCTGTCATTATCATCATTCAAAAATAAGATGATTATCTAACCCCTCCTCTTGTATTACGTACCCTGTAAGGTGTCAGGTAGATGCTTCCCTTCTTGCTTTTTCTGAAGGCTTCTGGCAAGCGTTCTGCGTCACTGAACAGCAGCTCCACATTCTCATATGACATCAAGACACTGCAGGAAAACAGATTTGGTTTATTACAGTCAGCACATTCTCTGCCAACACATCACTGACAAGGAACAAAGACTGTTGTTTATAAATGTAAAGAATACCAGCAATCAAATAAAGTTGTCTCTTGTTATAATAATTCACTATAAATAATAATAATAAAATACTACTATTATTAAATAAATAATGTAAAAATATGAAAAATAAATTAATATAAATAAAATATATATTATTACAATTTATAATGATATATACATTTAAGAAATAAAATAATAATATAATAATAATAATTGTCATTTTAAGTTGTAGTTATAAGAACATTTGTATCAATAATAATAATATTAATGAATATAATATAAATAAAAGTAGAAATTATATAAATAAAAAATCAATAATATAAAAACAAAATATTATATATTATTATTATAAGTTGTAGTACTTAAACATTTATCTGTAATATTATAAAAATGTAATATAAATAGTAGTAGTAAGTAGTAAAATTATTAAAAATACATTAAAATAAATACAAATATAATAACTTATTAAGATAATAATAACAATAATGGGTATGAATAAAAACGTAATGTACAAGGAGATGCAAAAAAGTTAAATAAATAAAAATGCTTAAATAAAAAGTATCATTCGATATCAAATATATTTGGGTATTTATGTGATATATGTATATCTGTTGTCCTCATTTGCAAGTCGCTTTGGATAAAAGCATCTGCTAAATGACTAAATAAATAAAAATAAATAAATAAAAATATGTTAATGGTTTGTTGATATGTTAGTGATATGTTGTCATAGCTGGTGTCATCAATCTTAGTCTTTATCAGTTGTGTAATAAGATCACAGCTATTGTGAAACTTTAAGAGCATGTCATTTCTTTTAGAAGAAGCTTAAGAAGATTATTGCTGACCTACTGCGACTAACACAAGCATTTACAGCACAGCAGAAATACCAATCCTACGATGGCGAGGGCTGAGCTCATTACTATTAATTAGGTAACGTGGCATGCCTCCAGCTGATTGGCTGAAACACAAAC